TATAATATATAATTATATATATAAAATTATATATATATATCTCACATGACCAACATACACAATACTATTTTTTTTTCTCTTTGCTCTAAAATAACCAAATCCAATCAAATGTAATGCGCCTTACAATACTTCTTTCATATCGTAAAGTATGAAATACGTTTACCAAATTTTACTTTCCATATGATAAAAAATATACTTAATGTCATACAATATCGTATCATATATAATAAATAATAAAAAGATACTTCTTAATACTTTACCGAAATATTTTAGCGCTTACATTTAACATATTAAGGACTGTATTTATAGTCGTTAAAGAACTCTACTCTTGAAATTTTTGAGATTAAATGTCTTGAGAGAAAACTGAATAAATAAATAAATAAATAGTTTTTTGCTTGAGTAGAAGTTTACTCAAGATTTGATGTTGAATTACGACGCATTGAATTGCCCGTGACTCAGGATAAAAAGATTCGATTCTGAGAATCCCGACAACTGATTCCCAACAACACGATTCTCGAAATGAGATTCAATAACGATTATAAATACAAGCCTGAGTAAATTCACTTATTTTAATATCATTGCTTTAGGACTTAAAATGTGTGCATTATCTTATTATCACAAATAAATAAAGTTTTTCGTGTTTTGGAGATAAAAGTTGTAAAATATCGGATCTCGAAATAAACCAAAGTATATACACATTTAATAAGATATATATGCTTATGGAGAATATATAAAATATATATTAATAAAACATATTTAACACAGAGGGAAGCATATCTCATTTACATAATGTGTATAATCAATTAATCACATCAAATGCAGTGAGCATTAAAAAGGCAGTCATTGCATGCACACCACACACATTCACATGTATATATATATATATATTTTTTTTGTTTTCTCTACCACAACAATAACCTATATGTAAGTATACGTCTGCTAAGTTATATGTACATTCTGGTTTTGTAGACCATTTATATATAATCTTGATATCAATCTTCACATATCACAATCTAAACTATTATTTACGATGTGAATATTTATATATATTGAAATATATAAAATGTCCATAAATTTATTAAACAGACGTTTCGTGTTGTGTATGATGTGTGGATGTGCTAATCGTATATGTATATAATTTTTATTTTAAATTTGAATTATTTGAACTAAGTTAGATATCAGATCTAACATAATCTGTCACAGCATATTTGAACTACCTTTAATGTCACGTTATAAGAGGATACTGAATCCTTTAATGCATAAGAAACAAAAATAAGTTGTTGGAATAGTGTTTTCTATAAATCATCTGAACTGTATTTTTAACTTGAGTCGAACAATTCTCTCAGCGTAAACTCAAACGAAAGCTATCTATTTTAGATAGGAGATTGGGCCACGTAGAAAATTGAGTTTGATGAAGTGTTGATATTATGATGAGCGGCTCCAGCATCCTCTCGGATCAGATATTTACATGTTGATTTTCAATCACATTTGCGTCCCCACGCACAGTGTATAAATATCGTACGAATTTCTATCATAGTGTTTGCTTCGGAGAGTATAATCTTTAGAGTTTCTGCTCTTTGATTTTTTGAGGAAAATTCAAAATATACACACAGTGAGTGTCTACGAAATATAGAAAGAGAAAACTTACTGTTTAAAAGAGAAAAATAAGTTATTTATTAGTCCAACCTCGCCAGATCGAGGCGATACTGGCTGCCGCACTTGTTACCAAACCACCAGCGACACTCTGATGCACTTGCATGCTAGACGATTGCTGGCTAACCATTGCGCCAGAAGCAGGTACTGCCATTTCAGGACATGCGATATTTGGTACCTAAACAACAGCATTGTTGTTTGTAACTGCTTAAAAAAACTTATTCTGAAGAAATATGTGTGTACTTTATGTAAAAATATGACGTACCGCTTCCCAACCCCAACACAGATCCTCTTCATCAGAAGCTGAATCATCACTATTTTCCAAATCAGGAACTAATTGACTGTGAAGTTGTGCTACTACAGACGGATCAACCTCCATTGGTCCAATTCTATAATGACATGTACACAGCAAACTTTATAATACATGCTAACTTCACAGGTTGATATCTGTAAAATAACTGTTCTTGATCTTACCTTCCAAGATCGCTAATTTCGGTGTTCAGTAAGTGCATCAAATTTTGCAATGTATGCATGGGATGTAAAACGTCTACATTGGTATTTTGTGTGAAGCACAAGTGTAATACATTACTATTTAATCTTGCTACTTTCCTAGCAAACTTTTGGTCCGACATCTCATTACCGCAAAACTCTCTAGAAAGAGAGGAATTATATATATCAAAAATCTTTTATATACAATTAATTAAAATGTGTAAATATATATATAACTTTTAATACTTACCCACACGTAAGTTTATACGGTAGTCTTACGTTAACATAATAGGCAAGGACATTAACCAGTTGCGTAGCATAAGTTAAAGCAGCACTGATATTGTAAGCTGGATTATGGTGCATCGCGTTTTCTTTGTTCGCGCCTGGTACACCGTCTTTATTTGCTGCAACTAAACGATTACATTTACACTTGCACGTAAAGATACTGGTTGCTACATAAAAACACAAATTACCCCAAAAAGAGTAAGCGCTATAATCTCCCGTTGCTGGTAGCGTAGGTTCGATTATACGATGGTGAATTTCCAATGAATTCTCCTTTTCGCTAACCCATCTACCACGCACGTACGATGTACCTGACGCATCTGCTAACGCGCTAGTAACAACATCCGAAGTCGCACTGTCACTGTCCTCACTGCTGCACAAACTGTAAACGATATTTTTTATAATTACAAACTGTATACAAAATGTCTTTTTATTTCATGTTCAATTAATATACGTAGAAGAAATTTACAGAAACGCGTTATAAAAGAATCTCAAAAAAAAAAAAAAAAAAGAATCAGCACATGTCCAAAAATGTTGAAGAACTATTAGATATAAAAAATTAATCTTATATACCTTCTATTTGGCTGAACTTTAGACAATGGAAAAATGTACTGAATTAACTGTTTAGCAGCAGTTCTGATAATCTTCTTCAATTGCTCCCTCTTTCTGTCTACAGCTTCCTTTTGTTTTTCTTGCTTGGCTTTTAAGTCATTAACATAGCGATGTAATTTTTTTATTCTATCCTCATGCCTTGGCACACGCAGAGTCAACTCAGAGTTGATATCCTTCAGAATGCTCAAACACTGATTACCTATTGTATAACACAGTGATTATGACTCTTGTAAAACACTCTTGTAAAATACAATAAAGATATGAAGCATAAAAATACTGTTGATTGTTAATCTCAGAACTTACCTCTATTGATGTTCTGTCTTGTCTCATCCACTAAAGACTGAAGCAATCTCACTCTTTCTTTACATGTATTTATATCACAAATCTGAAATTTTTAACATTCAAGATATAAAATATCTAATTTTGATGAATTAATTGTGCCATGCAAGAAAAATATTTTAACTGACAATATATTGCAGGTATATGTGTGTGTTTATACTAAGTGACAATTAAATGTCAGTTTTTCTGTTAACAGTTTTGACAAACTGCTAAAAATATTTTTTCCAATATAATTTATATGTATTAAACCACAAACATATTAACTCTACAGTAGCTTTTGTTATTCCGTTTAGAGATAAATGACATTACTTCATAAACAAAAATCACAGTACCAGCTTATCCCTTTGTTTGTGCCTCTCAAGAGCCTTCGTGCATTTTTCCTCTAACTGAGCCCTCGCAGCTTTCAGTCTTATGAGACGCATTTGTTTATCCGCGAACCTAAACAAACATCATTAAAAATTTGTAATCACACCTAGAACATACTTGACAGTAATATACCAAATACACGTCATATATCAATTACAACATTCATTTTCAGAATATATGGAATTTGATCGAAGGACGCAACAAAAAAAAAAGAAGAGGAAAAGAATCGCTTCGTCACTGATAAAAGACGCACCGTTCCGTCGAATAAACGGTGTTCGAGTGTACGAAATCCCCATTCTGGACGCACTGGCGGCAGTAAAAAATTCGACGCCTGTTATGGCACAGCGGACACTTGAGTAAGTTCATGCTTAGACGACTCGACGCGTCCTCCAGCTCGGACGAGAGCTGAAAATCGGCGGGCGCCGTGCACGAGCCGTCCGAGCTGCTCGTCGCCATAACCAACAATAACGACGCAAGCAATGAGGAAAATGAACACTCCTCCGGTTCCTCCGACTAGCTCTTGTTATGTTATGCCTCATCAGCTGATCCACTATTTATTCGCACCCCAACACAGCCGTCCATCTACATCGCGCGCGCCGATTCTCTCTTTTCTTCGTTTTGCTTTTTTTTTCACCTTCACGATTTCCTTTGTCACTAGTCAGAGGACACTAGTGTGACGATAGATCAGCTGATATCGCAACCAATTAGACATCGACGCACCAACACTCTCATTGGCCGACGCGTGCAAGATGACTTTCAAGCGGAAATAAATGTACGTATGTATGCGAACATATGTACATACGCGAGCATCTCTGCGAGACATGACTTTAGTTTCACGCAAGTTTTATTTGTTAAAATACACAATATTTGTTTGTTCTCATTATTTTTTTTCCTCTTTCTGTCTCTTTTCTTGTTCGGTCTAATTAAAATTTGTGTAATTTATCTCAAATGCAAAAAAAACGCAATTTGTCAAACCACAAAAATAAAACTTTTTATTTTTCCAAACGTGAAATAAAATTATATAGAAGAGTTTTGTCTCGCTAATATTGATTAAAATAAATAAATGCGTTTCAAAACGGGCGGCAAGGTGTGTGGAACAAGCTAGACAGCTGATACATGAAAACAACATGGCGAAAGTGACCCATGCCGTGTGGGATTTATCTTCGAACTTTGCGGCAAATCGGTATTTTTCTCGTTTGTTGACGTAAGTAAAATTCAATTGTTTTCGCTGGTGTGTTTAATTCTGTACAATATGAGCAAATGATTTTCTCAATATCTAAAGTTTTTCACGCACTACTGTGCTCCGAAGATCTGCAATTGCGCAACAGTAAAAAAAAATTACGTATATTACATCAGTTTACACAAAATACTAACATAATTAATGTCAATCACATAGATATATACGTATTTCTAACATATAATATATTAAAGAATTGTGGTGTGCGTACTATTATTGTAGTTCACCATGGTGCAACATATCTATGGTCACGTCGTCTCAAGAGTTGTCAACAAATGCTGCAGCAAATGTCAAATCTGAAGATGCATTGATTATCAGTGACAGTTGTGTGAAACGTCTGAAGGAAATAGCAAATGATGGCGCATGTTTGAGGGTCTCGGTGGAAGGTGGTGGCTGTTCTGGATTTCAATACAAATTTGACTTGGATCCGAACATACATGAGGACGATAGGTGTGTATATGTATATA